GGATGAGGGTCTCTAAGTCTCTAAGCCAAAATCAGAAACAATGATCTATTTCATACTCTCAATACATGGCTGGGGAAACAACGCGGGTGTGGAGAGAAGAGGCTGGACTTCAGAGTAAGATAAGACCCCAAGGTGTGAACATCTCATCGCCACAACACCGGCCACATTACTGAGCCTTTTTGCCTCAATTTCTACCACATCAGGTCATTTTGAGGTTCTAGTAAGATGGTTGAGATAATGCACAGAAGGTATAGAATTGACTCCATGAAAGTCAGCTCCGTCTTCTCCCCTCAGGGGCTATGGGTGTAGACAGAGAAACCCTTTTTCTATGCAAGGCTCCAGGCCATCAGCATCTTCCTCCAAAAGAAGCAAACCATCGACAGAATGCCAACAACGTTATGAAATGACTCAGTATAGTTTTAATAAATATATTCCCATTAAAGTCATCTGATTTTTAAATTACATACAGGGAATGTAGAGTGCAATTCAAGATACACAAGTCAAATATGTTTTATAATAATTCTCCAGATATTGCTTAAACACCAAACACGTATATACGTCTCAATCCTTTCTTGTGAATAAGGAAAGAAGAGAGCTAGGACTAGGAGGAAAAAAAGGATACACTATTTTCTCATCTATAAAATGAGGCTGGGATAGATGAACAATATGAGTTAGCCTAAACATTATATGATTCCAAGATGCAGAGAAAGAGGGAAATAAGATATAATGACACAGATATTTATCAACCAGAAGACACAGAGTCAGATAGATAAATGCATCAAAATATTTTAATGGCATGACCATGCAATGTTGCTGCCATTAAATATGTTATTGGCAATACCATTTAAAGTTACACTGGTTTTGCAAATTCTGGGCATAGGGACAGAATGTCACCACTTACTCCACAGGAAAAGAAGCTGATCTGGGGGCTGTGAGTCGCCCAGTACTGCTGTGGATATACTGCACATGATGGGGGCGGGTGCGACAATACCAGCACTTCTTAACTATCTGGGGTCCAGTTGTTTTTATCTTATTACAAATACAATCTATAAACATTAATGATACAAATATAAAATTTTTGAGCATAGACATGTCTCTAATAGAAACTGGATTTGAAATCAGCATATCAAGTCTCACATTTACCCCTTCCTCTGCTTCCTAGAAATTGGCATTTGTTAATCTTCATCACAGCAGTCACTGCTTGTTTAAAATGAAGATTCTCAGGGGCCCCACCCCAAATTTACTAAATTAAAATCTCTGTGCGAGGGGCCTGGGAACCTACATTTTAATAAATTCCCCAGATGGATTCTTATCTATACTAAATTGCAAGTCATTTGAACTATCACATAGATCAGCAATAGTGGGAGGTATGCTCTTTCCATGATAAAATTAACACATTAGAATGAGTCATAAAGATAAGGCTTTGTGTATAGACGCACATTATGTAGAAATTTACATATCTATACAAGGTTGTAAGGCGAAGAGAATCAACATTTATCAATTGCCTACTATGGTATAGATCCTGACCAAATTATATATTACTCAATCTTCAAAATAATCCTGTTTGAGTTATGGATGGAAAAAGTTGGGCTTAGAGAGAGAGCAACTTTTCTGAAGTCACAAGCCTGGAAAATCGCCCAGCTAGGTTGTGAAACTAGATTTATCTGACCCCAGTCTTCTCATTCCATTGCACTAAGCTCATATGCCCATGAAAACACACACACACACACACACACACACACACACACACACACACTCTCTCTCTCTCTCTTTCACATCATACAACAGCCATATGGTAAAAGGCAAAGTAAAATTAAATTACTTTAGAAAACTTTGCATCCACAGAAATGTAGTTTTTAAAGAACTTTCTATCAACGGATACACTTTGGTCGGTCTGCTGACAAGAGAATTAAGCGTATGACTATCAAAACCTCATTTAACAGTCTGAATTTTAGTAATGAGAAGTGTATTTTGGGGTTTGCTAGGGTCAAACTTAACAGTGATTCTTGATTTGTGCAAACTACAAATTTTTGCAAATAAAACCACTTAATATTCATTCTGCAAGTCATAGTACCTTACAAAGGAAAATGACGACAAAAGTGTGATCTAGCGCTTGTGAACCCAAAGGCCTTCCTGGGCCTCACCCCTCCCCCTCCAGCGTCTAACACTCCAAGCTCCCTCCACCAGGAAACCTCCTTCTGCAGGCTTCTGGAGTCATGTTCTCTTGTGGTTCTTCCTTGCTCTCTTGCCAGACTTCTCTCTGGGTCCTCCCTAAGTCCTTCTTTCTTTTCTCGTAAGGCTCCATCCTCAACCTTTGCCTCCCTATATTTTCTCTCTGGAAAATCTCTTCTCCTACTTCTTGACTTTTTCTTATATCCCAATGACTCCCAAACCAGTCCTGGCCTTCCTCTGGAGTGCAAAGCCCTGACCTGTCTGGGGGACGTCATACTTCAACACCTCAAGCTCAGCACCTCTAAACGGCAGCCCCTCATACCTCCTTTCAAGTTTCCTTCATGGGTACCACCACTCTGGAAAGGCCAACGTCAGCTTTAGCTGCTCCTTCTCTCTGAGATGTCAGGTTGTGTCAGTTCTTTCCTTTGCATCTGTTCATTTCCCATTTCACTGCTATCACCCATTTCAGGCCTTCACCCTCCTTTTCCTTGGTGGACTGTGGCAGCCTTCTAACAGGTCTCCCTGTCTCTGGTTTCTGCCCTGCCTTTCCTCTCCATCCCCCCTGAGCTACCCACATGAGTATGCTCCTGATACACAGCCAGGACACTCCCCTGTTCAAATCTCTTCAGTGACTCCTATTGGTTAAAACATTCAAATTTCCCAGCTTGGCATTCACGACTATTATCATTCGGCACCGAATGTTCTCTAGTTTTATTTCCCCCGAAGCCTGTAGAGACCAGTTCTAACTCAATCGGACTCACTACTTTTCCCCGACTATGGTCCATGCCTCCTTGTTCTCCTGCTCCTCCTCCTTCCTCAAATGCCTCCTCCTCATCTCTTTGATGGAAACTCCACATCCTTCAAGGACTTGCTTAAATGCTCTTTCTCAAGAAAGAGTCCCTCGACTCCTAGGGATAAAGGGACTTCTTCCTCCTCAAATTAGAAAATATCTTTTTTTGACATTTACCACATGGTTATTTCTGCATATTTTATTTCCTCACCTACAAAAGGGGTCTGAGAGGAAAAGGACCAGATCCTTTTGCTGCAGAATTCTCCATTCTCTCTAGCACAGTGTCATACTCCTAGAAGGTACTCAACATTTGCTGTAAAACATTTACAGAACTCCTAAAAGTCTGCAAAGCACATTCACATTCAACATCTCATTTGTTCTATTTGGAGCTTAAGTTTATTACAAGTAGCTTCAAGACTTACAATCTGATTTCTGTTGTTTAAGGCAATTATTGGAGCTACCCCTAACTCTGCACCTTGTAAACTAAAGCATCTCTTTACTTGCTTTACTTTCGAACACTCAGAGTCCTGTGGGGCCCACAAAGCTAAAAGAGGAGACCCTTTCGAGTCAGAGAAGGTCCCTTTGCCTAACTGCTTTTTTCTCTGCCTATAGATGAAATGTACAAACAAAAGGCCTCTGTAAGCAGGTGACAGTCACGGCAAAATCAAAACTTAAAAGAGAAGTAAGAAATTCCTTTCTGAAGATTTCAAGATTTTAAAAAAGATTTTCCTATATATCCAGTTGGAGTCCTATGTACGGGTCAATCTCCAACATCCTTGGAGATTGATATTCTTGGAGACTGATATTCTAGCATGTGAACAACAGAAAATCTCCAACAGTTGAACAATAATTCCTTGCTAAGAGACTGAGCACGATTACCATGATTGTGAAAACAGAGGAATATGTTTGGTCTTGAATATCCAGTGCCCACAGGAGCTCAATAAACACCTGCTGAATGAACAAAGAAGTGAATGAACTCAGAGAAGGCCTTACCGGTGCTTATAAAGTGAAAAGTATAAGTTTTCATGGATGGATGCAAGTGTTATGTTAAATTTGAAAAAAAAAGAAAAATTGCACTGAGGGGCAAGAACTGTGATATGGCAGCTACTTAGGTCTCTTCCTGTGACAGCTCCCAGTCTGACTGCTGGAGATGCAGGGGAAGGAGGGGTGAACGGCAGGCATTGCCCCTCCAACTACGCCTCTTTGGAGTTTAGGTTGCAAGCTCCTTGAACTTTGTGGTCCCGGCATTGTGTTCAGCATACAGAATGTGCACCATAAACGTCATATGAGATGCAAAGCCCTCCATGACCTGCCCGCATTTTCACATTTGAATCCTTCACATCTATTCTTCCTAACCTCATAAAGGTGTTGTGAGGACTAAATAAAAATACAGCACTTAAAGCCCTTAGCATACTGCCTTGCATGCACACACACAAACAAGTGCTTGTTAAGGGGCAGTTGTTACGATCACCATCCGGGGCTTTGTATATGCCTCAAAGGCCAAGTTGAGTGTGCTGGGCTGTCAGTACTTGTCTGCACAAACCACAAGTGACCTGTGGGCGGGCTCTTCACGTCCACATCCTCAGTGCCCAGCACGGAGCTCACCCCCAGCAGGCCCTGAAGCTGGTTGTACCACTGAGCAATTGGGGTCCAAGTGCCAGTCCTGCCTTCACCCCAGCCCACTGGTCACCCTGAAGAGCCATTTAAACGCTCTGGGCCTCAGTGGCGACTGTGGGTCCTTCCGGCCTGAAGAAGCTAGAGATCTAGAAGAGACTTAGAGACGCTCCCATGACAGTCAGCGGCAGTGCAGTAAGAAGCCAGTTGTCCTGAAGCCCGTTCACTTAGCTCCCCCTTCATCACAGGGGCTCACACACCATGTCTCCTTCATAACAGTTCCCTTAAATGTCACTGTCGCTTTGTAATCCCCAAACCTGGTAGATCACTGGCACAAATCATATGCCCCTTGGGAGTCCTTCAGCCCCTCAGAAAAACCATTTCCTATTTCATGTAGACTAAGGAGAGACACAAATCCAGTTACCTCAGTTAGAACAGACCAGCCTTAACAGAGTTAGTTTCTCGTGCTTTGGAAGAAATCACTTGGAAATCCTTGGTTCTGAGTCCTCCATCGCCTCCACATCAAGATCTAAAAAAAGGAAAAAGAAAAAGCACAGTGTCCCATGACCAGCTGCCAGGATGTGCTGTTTCAGCAACAACAGTAAGTGCAATCAGCATGTGTATTGAACACCTACTACAAGCCAAGCACTGAGCAGAGTGATTGACATATGTGACCTCACACAGTCTTCATAATACCCCCAGGATGCAGGAGACATCCCCTCACTTACAGCCACACAAAAAGAGTCTCTGAGAGGTCACGGAATCTGTTCAAGGTCATACAGCTGGTTTATGTTAGACCTGGGACTTACACGCAGGTTCAACTGATTCCAAAGCCTGGGTTATTAACCTGTAACTCAGGGTTTTAAAAACTTTTTGACAGTGACCCACCGTTTTAAAAAATTACATTATATAAACTGAAACCTCAAAGTCTCAAAACAATGCTTACTCTTACCACATGCAATGCACTCTATTTTCTATTCCATTCTTTTCTAAAATTGCATTACATAGCCTATATCTTTAAGAAAAATTCCAGTAGTAACCCACTAGACTGATTTCTCAATCTTCTAATGGGTCCCTACTCTTGTTGGGAAAAACACTACACTTAGATATAGTACCTCACTAGAAGTCTCTCTGAAACCCGGACTAAATCCTATGTTTTTTAACCATGAGAACCTGACCGAGTGGTTGAGCTTCATAATCAGGAGAAAAGTCCTTAACTTTTAAAATATGTATAAGGCACCATAACACAGGTCATCTAGAATGGATCCTTAGAAGGGATATTCAATTAGGGCCAAAGTCCAGACCGGAACCAGTCACTTACCTACAGCAGAACGGGAGCTATAAAGTGGAACCGCGGACAGACTACAGCCTCAGGTGATTCACTAGACACCCCGCAAAGAAGTGGCTAACAACGGGCGGTCGTGCTGCACCAGCAGAGCAGACCTAACTACTGCAGGAGTAGGAGGCTGAGATTGCTAACCCCTGGGGGCAGGGCTCTGCCTTTGCGTGTCCCATTCAATTCCAGGGGCTTCGTGTGGAGCCAGGGAAATCCTTAGGCTCCTGCAGGGTCAGGACTGGGGTCCGAGTCGCAGTCGGGGGAGGGGAAGTGCGACTGTCAGCGCAGTTCCGGAGCCCGCTGGACCTGAGCCCACAGCGTCCCTGGCCCTCGGCTGCGCATTTCCCCCGGCCCCGGCCCTCCAGCACGGCCGCGCGGCGGGGCCACTGGACGCGGCGAAACTGCCCGGCGCCGCCGCCGAGCAGCCC